TGATAATAGCCATCTATCTTGATACATATTCATCCAATGATGTATTAGACATCAAATTAAAGGCTTCTTGTTAAAAAAAATCAATAAAACTCGAAATGAAGTAAAATGACAATTGTGCCCTTTTTAGTAAAAAGACAATTTTACCCCTGAGATTTTCGGCCCTTGTAGAGATTTTCCAGGATTGAACTTCTTATCATGATTCTCACCCTTGATGCTATCAGATTGTGCAAGAAAAATCAGAAACAAGTTCAAGGATCGGTTGGAGGTTGGAGGTCGGAGCATACTCTTGGTCACTTTTGAGCCAAGAAATGAAAGATTTCTATTGGAATGAATTCAAGATAAGTTTATGAATTTTACTTGTATAACGTTTTCTTTTCTATTTTATACATTTGTGTGTGCCTGTAATAGCATGCATGATTATGGTGAATAGAAGGTCACTGAATCTGAAATCTGAGTAGTTTAATGATTAGAAGATGATTGAATATGAAATCTGAGCAATTTAATGATTAGAAGCTAACTGAATCTGAAAGCTGAGATTAATTTAATGTTTGTACTAATACTTAGACTGTTTTGTAGAAATCTTTTACATGGGATCCTGAAATAGAAGGCCAGATAAAAGAGGCATGGTCTTCATTAGCAGCAAACCGTTACCGTGACCTTACAAGGGATCTGAGAGAATGGGATAAAAAGCCATGTTTCATTCAGGAAGATGCGTGGGCTAGTTTTAAACAACATTGGGAGAGTGAGTCTTTTCAGAAAGTAAGAAAATGGAATCCAAATAACTGTAAAAGTAGCAAGAAGGGACTAGTGTATCATACTGGAGGTTCAGTTTCATTTGTGGAGCATGTGGCAAGGCTGGTAAGATTTTCATTCCTAACACTTGTGGGGTTCTGAGTATTGTTGTTTTAGCTGGTGTTTTCTTAAATATTATAAAACTGATTCTGAGTGTTGGTTCAGAGGTTTGTTTCATCTCTCTCTTTACTGAATTTTTTCATTCCTTGAATCGTGATCAGTACAATGCTAAGTTTGACATGTGTGTAATTATTGGTAGGAACGTATTCTTGGTCACAAGCCTTCGCTGTATGAAGTATTCACATACACTCATACCATTCAGCATAATTTCAAGACCTTCGTTGATTCCAATTCTAAAATAATTCGTGTGAGTTTTGTTGAACACTTGAAACATTTAATCTTCGACTCCAATATGACCCTTTATGTATGCCTACTGGATTTTGCTTGCTGGATTTCATGTGCCCCTTTAATTTGATGCATTCAGTTTATTCTATGCGAATTTTTCGATGCATATATATATGGATATTTTTATCAAGATTGTCTCGCTATGTGTGATTTGTTGTTTACGTGATTTGCTGATTTTGGTCATGTGATGAGGTTCCTTTTAGATTGGATAGCGTTTTTGACTCAGCAAAGGCTTCAATTTGATATTTGTAAGTGGTTTTGTACAAGTGTTTTAGGGACGGATAATTAGTCAAATTGTTGCTTTTGATTCTGCCCTTTCTTTCTGGGAACTCCAAATACTCTGATCTTGTATTTTTTCACCTGCAATCACTTATCTTTTCTATCGCATATGAAACTATAACTCTTCTGCTGGAAATTATATATTTGCGATATTCATTCATCCGTTCCCAACTTTTCTGTCTACCAACTATGAATAAGTTTCTTACCTTCTTTTTGTGCCTTGCATGAACACAGGACAAGTATATGAGGACTCGGGATAGGGTTGTTCGGGATGTTGCTGCAGACTCGGAGACGTGAGTTGGATGAAGATGCGCTATATATCCATGCTGTTGGAGGTCAGAAGAAGGGAAGAGTATATGGCCTTAGCTCTCAAGTAGGCTCTTATTATTCCTTGGGTGCTGGAAAATCTGCACATTCAGATGTGGTGGTACAAAGCAAGAAGCAGATTCAGGATTTGACTAGCAAGGTGGACGCTTATGCATCGAAAATGGAAAAGATACAAACTATGATGGAGAAGTGGCAAAAATTAATGGAGATGTGGTGCAAGCAAAATGGTGCTCCATTCCAAGATCTTGGTGTTGAGGATGATCAAACTCTTCAAGGATCGGAACGGCAAAATGATCAAGCAGGTTCTGATTCAAGTGATTGGGATGGAAGGTCTGAGGATGAAGAAAACCACACTCTAGGTTGATTAGCATTGATCAATATAGATGACGTGTGTTGGTTTAGGATTTTCATTTTGAAAATGGATGTTTTTTTTTCGTAATTTGACAATGGTTTGAACGTTTGTTGGATTGGATTGTATTGTTCTTTACAACGTTGTTGAATGCATTTTAAAATATTCAATTTAATGGTTGAATTGACATTTGGTATTTGATTTGTTGGACTGGATTTGGTATAAATGTAGACATTAGGGGCTAAAATATAAATAAATATTGCAGCAAAAAAAGAAAATATTATCGTGGGAAACTTTAACAAATTCAATAATTTACCCACTGGGAGTTGTGGGTAATTTTTTTTCCAAATTCAGTAATTTTCCCACAGATATCTTTGTGGGTAAATGTATTATTAAAAAATTAAATTACATTTCATCCACGACTGCCGTGGGTAATATTATAAATTGGAATAAAAAAAATTTTATTTTGCCCATGGAATCCGTGGGTGATTCTCTTGAATTGTGAGAATGAAGAGTCGATTCTCCCACGACCTCTCCCACATTTGTTGTTGTGGGTGAATTACCCACAAAAAGTTGACTTCCATGGGAGAGAGAATCCCCACAAGCATATTACCGACGTCGTTTTTCCGTGGAAAAGTCGTGGGTAATTTGATTTACCCAAGGCCTCACAGGCATATTACCCCCGACATTAGTCCGTGGGTACTGACCTTTTTTTTTTTTGTAGTGTCACTTTGTAATTTTGGAGACCTTGGAAGGGGGAGAGGGTTGAAAGCATCTGAAATCCAAATTTCCTCAATATTTATATCTTGACTGTTTGCAACCCTCCATTTCATGTCTTTAGCTAGCAAAGATTTTCCCCGCATAATACTACACCATCCCCATGATGTGTTGTTCGGCAATTCGCATTCCAAAAACTTCCTTCCTTTGCCATATTTTGCCATCAAAATTCTCGCTAAGAGTGATGATGGGTTGTCATTTATTCTCCATGCCAGTTTTGCTAAGAGGGATTGATTCATTTCTTTGGCCGACCGAAAACCTAAACCGCCGTGAAATTCTGATTTATAGGATTTCCAGTGCAATCAAGCGATCAATCTGTGAGGTGACTGATTGCGGGAGTTTAAAGGCTCCCATCATATAGATAGGGAGCGAGGCTAAGCAGTGCAAAGTGACCCTACCCATCATAAAGAGCAAGTTGTTTTTCCAGGCCAGAAGTTTGCCTCGGATCCTTCCTGTGATGTTGCCAAAAAGAATACTTTTCTTTTGCATAAAATCCAATGATAAGCCAAGGTATTTACCTGGGGTCAACCTTTTCTAGATTCTCAGTAATTGTAGTGCAAGCTCCTTGACTTCCGTCTTGGTGTTGGGACTAGTCATCATCATAGATTTATCAAAATTTACTCTCTGGCCCAACATATCCAAAGGCCCTGATGTTCTATTCTTTACATTCCATGAAAATCAGGCAATCGTCGGCATACATCAGGTGAGATAGCCTTGGTGTTGATCTAGATATTTTAATGCCAAAGTGTGCATTACCGGAGCCCATAGCTTAACTACTGCGGAGAAGACCTGTTGGCAGATAATAAAAAGGTATGGTGACAGCGGGCATGCCTTGTCTTAGGCCTCTTCTTGGCGCAAACGGTTGTGACTGCCAACCGTTAAAAGATATTCTATATCTCACAGTAGAGACACACTTCATAATTACTTGCGTAATTGATGGTGGGAAACCTAGTCTTACCAGTATGGACTCCAGGCATTGCCAAGATACTCGATTGTAGGCCTTACTCATGTCCAGTTTGATGGCTGCATAACCTATCTCGCCAGTCTTTCTCTTTCGAATGCACTCTATCCCTTCATGAGCTAAAAGGATGTTTCCCCGATGTATGTCCCTGGGACAAAACCATTCTGAGATTCTGATATGATATCCCCTAAGGTTCTTTTGATTCTATTTGTGATCACCTTAGCCATAATCTTATATTTAACATTGCAGAGACTAATTGGGCGGAAGTCACCCGGTGAAGATGGGTTTCCTTTCTTTGGGATGAAAATCACGTTCATTTCACTCCAATCCTCACGCCATTCCTGATTGTTTAGAATTTTTAGTACCGCTTGCGTGGTCTTCTTCCCTACGCTGTCCCAAACGTTTTTATAGAAACCATGTGGAATTCCATCAGGTCCTGGGGCTTTCCATGGGCTTATACTCTGAATTGCTTCACGTACCTCTAATTCCTTGAAAACCTTTCCCAATTCGGTAGCTTGTTGTTGAGAGATCCTGTCTGTTACGAATTCCTCAATCGAAGGTCTTGGGTTGTTATTGGGATCCCCGTTGTGTCGAGCCATTCCCGAGACAAAAACCCCTTTGAAATGTTGGACCATCAGTTCTTGTATTTCCTCCTGTGAGTAGCACCAGTTTCCTGATGGATCTTTCAAAGCCACTATCCAATTTTTGGATTTCCACTTTGTGGCCCAAGCATGAAAATACTTCGTGTTATGGTCACCTTCCAGGTTTCATTTAACCTTAGACCGTTGCTTCCAATAATCTGCTTGAAGTTGAAAGAGACTTTCTAGTTGTTCTCTGGTTCTGTCGATCAAGGCCTCATTTTTAATCATCCCATCTTGTCGTTGTAGCTTCTCCAAATATTGTCCCAGTCAGCTGATCTCTGTGTCCAGTGCACGAAACGGCTGGTTATTCTAGTTTGTGAGATTAGCTAGACTTTGGCTCAAAGCTTGGGACAAGGATTCTCCATCATTGGGCCCATTTATTTGTCTTTGATTCCAAAGATTCTTGATGATATTTCTTGCTGCCGGTATTTTTACCCAATAGGCATTTTGGCCTTTGACGATTTCTCCTTCAGTCTTGAGTTGTCTTTAAAATCATGGGGTCATGGTCTGAGGTTAGAATTGGCATATTTACAACATTTGCCCAAGGGAATTTAGCAAGCCATCCTGGTGTAGCGAAAGCCTGGTCAAGTCTTTCCACTATTCTCTTATCACCTTTCCTGTTGTTGCACCACGTGAAAGTATTGCCTGTGAAAGGAATTTCTGAAAAGCCGAAATCATCCAAGAGGTTCCTTAGAGGTTCCGCCTTTTGTTCGTTGAAATGGAGCCCCCTTTTCTTATCTAAGGGGGAAATGATCTGGTTTAGGTCTCCAAGAAGGGCCCAAGGTAGAGAGTACTGCAGAATTAGGCTTCTAATTTCATTCCAAACCTCCAAACACTTGTCAGCCTGAGGGTGGCCATATACAAAGTGGGTGCTCCATACAAAGCATCTAACTCTTTTATCCTTGCAGCTATTACTTCACTACTTGACAACAATATATCTATATTTACATCTTCTGTCCAAAACAGGCCTAGCCTACCCACCATGTTTGATGCCGATTCACAAACAAAATTACAAAAGGTGGTGTTATCTAACCATTTAACTACTAATTCCCTACTTACCATTAGTTCCTGTAAAAACAAAATATTGGGTTTATTCACCCAAAACAGGCTCTTCAAAGTCTGCACTGCAGATGGCCTTTGCAAACCCTGTAGTTCTAAGAGATGATCATCATGGCGATTTGGGTGGTTGGGTCCAACCACCGGAAGACCTTCATAATCAGAGTTGGTTGTTTTGATTGTGTGGATATTGCCTTGCGCATCCTCCAGCTTCGGCTTCTCTTCCGGGCTAATTGGGAGTCGATCCATCTCTTTTGGCTCCCAATAATCCATTCTTGCTCATTTCTTTAGAGGGAGTACCTGCTGCACCTTCTGAGGGGAGAATTTAATGTTCTGGGGCTTCTTTTGGGCGGTTGTGGCAGGAGTTTTGGTTGCCGATTTGGAGAGGATAACCACTGGCCGATTCTTTCTACCATTCAATTCATGCTCCAGATCTGCAGGTGCCCTGATGTTACTTTAGGCGGTGGGAGAGTCTGATGGAGGGGGGATGACTTTCTTTCCTTCCTTGATTTCTTGACGCTGCTTGAGTTGGTCTCCTGTAATGATGTGAAAGGGCTCCTCTTCATCCGAATCATAATGAAACATCCAATCCCAAGAGACTGGCGATGGGGATCTCGATAATGGATGGTAGGCAGAATCAATTAAAGGAAGGTTACAGTGGTTACCTTCATTTAAGTGTTGATGGAGGGGTGTTTGGGCCATATGAGAGACAACATTCCAATCCTTCTGTGGTTGGGCCTGAGAAAGAGTTGTTTCCATCACTTGGTTGTTGTTTGTGGTTGGTGGGCTGGTGCTAAAGCCTTCCTGATCAAATATCCATCCATATTTTGGGCTGGTGGGTTTGTGTCTAGCTGAAGTAGCCGCTTTTATCGCTTCCTCCAGTGGGTCTGATCCAGTTGTTGGGCCTTGGGACTGTCACTTTGGGGCTTGAATGGTAACCAGATTGGCCTACCTCATACATGTTTTGCCTGCTTGTTCCAGTGGAGTCAAAAAGTGCATAGAAGTCAATAAATTGGTACTCTGTCCCTTGTGTTGGCTGGTTGTGGGGCTCATTCAGCAGAAAATCATTGATGTCCATCATATCAGATTTCTCTGAACTGACAGCAAAGGGTAGAGTCTGGTGTTCAGGAGAATTCTAAGGCAAAGGATCTACTCCTGGTTGACTATTGATCTGGGATTCCTGGACTGTAACCCTTTCTTGGCGTAGCGGTTGAATGACTTGAGGGTCACTCCATATGACTTACTTTTCCTTTCCCCGGGCCCATACATTTGTCCACACGTGTAACCTTTTGGAGAGTGCTTGCTTGCGAGATTGGGTTTCTGGAAGGTTCCCCTATTTCCATGTGGGTTGTGCTGGTCGTTGGCGATTGCCGGTGTTGAGTTGACCGGCTAAGGATATTTTCCGTTTCCATCATGGCCACACCCGTGGTTTGACCTATCAGAGAGGATGGCTGGAGGTTTGTTCTTACAACCGTGGTCTACTTTTTCCTTGTGAAGGTGAATCCCTCAAGCAACCTGTCCTCCCGAATTCCTTAGAAGTAGTGGATGTATTTGTGCATGTACCCTTCTGAGAGTTTTGTGCATTTTTTCTGAGATTTGGTCCCATATGCCCTTATTGATGTTGGAAAAAGCTCCTTGCATTCATCCCAGGCGTAATCACAATCATCCAGTATACTCTGGGCTTGAAAGAAGGCATCATTCTGCTCTTCAAGCTCCCATGGATGCTCGATTTCACACTTGCTTCTAGGATGGCCTATAACACCGCATAGCTTGCAAAATTTGTGCGTACGTTCATATTGACATTTAATCCAGTACATATCTACTTCAGTATCTAGATCCCAATAGAAGTCAGATTTCAGGGGATCAAAGGGATTAATGCGTACTCGTAGCCGTAAATATTCATTCCTACGCAGGTCATAGTCATTTGCTTGTATGTCAACCCATGATTATATCTACATCCTAGTTCAATTAGAGAGCCTTGGAGTGTAATTATGTAGAAAGTATGAATTTGAGGTTGTTTCCATCACTGATTACGTTGGAATTTCAGACCTTCAAGTTCACCACCTTCTTCGTTGCCCTATCAGGAGGAAGCGTATTCTTGCAGCCCAAGTGGCTTATAATCTTGGCTTAATTCTCCTCTTTGATGTGTCCCTCTTGTTCTCTGTAGATTCGCGACTATCCTAGAGATTGAAATTCTTGTCTTAGTGTCGTCAGGAAACTCCAGTGATTTGATAGAATTCTCTATAATCTGGCCATAATCTGCAAATTGCAGTTGCCAGAGAATATTTGTTGTTTACCTAGTGTAGGCTTAAACTTAGATCTGAATTGTTTATTTGGATGAGTGGTGGAGGATAATGGAAGGTAGCTGAGTTGTATGAATTTGGGTTTTGGGAAGACAAAAGATTATTGAAAGCCTTGGGAGTTGATTGAAGGACCCTTGATGTTTCAGATAACAAGAACAAGTTTAAAATACTTGTTGAGCTTCCCACTTTGGGAATTGAAAGCCTCTCTCTTTTTAGAGAGAGAAGGTCTCACTTCTCTCTAAACTTCGCCAATACAATACAAAGATTAGTTTTATCTCAAAATTAAAAAGATTAGTTTTGATAGATTAGAGATCCAACTAGGTACTACCGTACTACATTAATTTGTCATTCCAACTCTACATTTATTTTTTATTTGTATGTTCAAGTGATCATAGTAGTAATAGATTTAAGGAATAAGGACAAAAAACCCCCAAATTATGTCCCAACGACTAATCCCCCCAGAGTTAAGGACAAAACCCCTCTTGATATTATAAGTTTGAAGTCAATAGTCTTTATATATTAAAATGACTAAAAAACCAAGATAATTATGACTATATTTTAAATAGAAAAATTTGTAAATTGAATTTACAATCACACTCCTAACTTGTTATAATTTTTAAAGTATAAAGACAAAAAGTACTCCGAACTATATTTATAACTCTTAATACTAATTAATCACATTATCTTTTTCAGTGTCTTAACTAAAATAATTAGCTCATATATAGATATTATAAAAATTTATAAATTTAAATAGGAGATTTACAACACTGAGTTTTCACTATTACTTGCACAAATTATAGAGATTTGTTGTCGAATAAAAGAGTATCAGAGATTTGTTGTCGAATAAAAGAGTATCAGAGGAAGTTGTAAGGATTTCTGAATTTGAGGGTTAAAAAATTTGAGTAATAACATAATTATTATTAAATTTGTCGGGAGGATTATGATTTATAAAAATAAATTCAAAAGGCATGCAGGATTTGGACATAGCTTGGAAGTCTTTGTTATATTTCAAAAAAATGGTGATCATCATCATATTTTTTTTTTTGAAAAATAAAATGTTGGAGCGATGTTCAGGTTCCGAACTTACAGAAAAACACTCAAGGGATATACCCAAGAGATAAATTTTTGTGCAAGCCAGTGCTAAATGATATAAATGCACCAAAGGGTCTACCCAGGATGAACATTTATACCATATAGTTCCCTAGATTGCTCCTTCCTATCTTTATTAATTTCAAGCTTAAAAAGAGGGAACCTAGGGCAGAGGATAGATCTAACCCTAGGTACTTACAAACATGTGCTCATTATAATAATTCCAATCCTTAGGATAAAAAGCTATCTAACCCTTATGTATGGAACAGAAAGTCTATCTAAATGAACTTTTCCACGTATTGGAGCTGGAAGATCCCTAATAATGTTATATTGATGTGAAGCCCCTACAGAAACTTGGCAAGATCATCAGCAACACTATTAGCCTCTCGAAATATATGAATGATTCTGAATTGGGAGTTGCGCAACATGTCTTGGATCTCCTTGAAGTGATGATAGTATTTCCAAGGATACTTCATACCTTTTTGAAGACAGAGAGTAATGGTTTTATTATCTGTTTGCACTTCTATCCGCTATCGTCCTTGGTGTATGCACATTTTGAGTCCCTGATAGATGCCGGCTAGTTCAGCCTCTAAACTGGTCAGCCAAGTTTCAACTATTATGTACTCCCTTCGTCCCATAATTTTTGTCCACTTTGCCAAAAAAAAAAAATTTTGTCCCAAAATTATTGTCCGATTTGACTTTTTATGGAGTAAGTTACACATATGCCCTTTACTCAAAAACATCATTTTACTTAGAATTTGATTCGAAATTTGATAATCTTCAAATCTATATATCTTATTATGGGAAAAACCAAAGGAATTCCAAAAGTTGATGTGTCATGTTTTCCTTCAAGTGATTCCCGCTCTATTTTTTTCCGGTAAGTAAAATAGTAATTAAAAAGCTTTAACTTCACTTAAATAATTAACTTCATTAATTAATGCCTTTTAAGTATTCCGTCCCTATTTTTAGTAAAAGATAGTAAAAAACTTTAACTTCTCACGTAATGTTTACAAATCCCTAAATTTCAGCCATAAAACTAACTCCATTTACATCTATATCTAATAATAAAAAAATTAACTTATCAACTAAATATAATTGTTACCATTCTTAAGTACTGAAAACCAATAATTTATTTTTCTACCACAAATACAACACTGTAAATCTCCTTTTTATATGTGGAAGCATGTTCCTTTTTCATCTTCTTTCTCCTTACCCTCAATTCCAAGTTTCCAACCCACGACCGTTCTGTGAGTCGCCAAAACTGAAGCACGATCCATCATTTTATTCATAAAAAATTGAAGGTCACGAACGTAGTTAGTTTTTGGATCTCAGTTGATGAGAAAGATGGAGGCTTGTGTATAAATACAAGTCCTGCCCTTTTGTCAAACACTTCATCTACATCATCATACACGCAATACCCGTAGAAAAAATCATGAATCCAGTCCGAGCTATAACGCCCGACAAGTTTTTTATTGATGATATCACGTCACATGAGAATAATGAAGCTCTACTTGTGCGAATTATGTGTATTTGGAAGCAGCCCAACAAGTACAATCCTGCTGAAACAACCTCAATTGAACTTGGCTTCTTTGTCGAAAACATCAATGGTATTGGCATCAATTATTGAATCAGGTACTTATGATGTTTAAAGATTATAATCTAATTGAATTTTTAAGATTAAAATCAGTAGAAATACGGGCCACAGTCCCAACCCAAATGATACTGCTTCTTTTTTATTAGTGGATTTTGTTTTCATTAATTGCAGCTTCCTCATGAGTGCACAGTTCAATTCAAGTGATGTTTCAAAATAAATAAATAAAATCGAAAGCTTTTCATTCTGTTTTCGTAATGAAATTATAAAGACGTGTGTTTTCATTTTTAATTTCATCAAACGCTTCTCAGTGGATGGTTCAGATCTTTGAATAACCTTCATCTGACAGTTGTTGAGATTTAAGTTGGCCAAGGCCTTTTGAGGTTTTGCCTCCTTTGTTTAATTCAACTCTGAGTCTGCGGCCAATGCCTATTGCAAATGTAGTGGTTACATCTCCACGTTTCATAAATCAACTATGCTCTGCAGTCCATCTTGCAAATATGAGTCTCATTTGTTTCTTATTCCTCATTCGTCCGAACTTGAATCGAAGACATGATTGGATATCTTGAAACTGATGTCAATGCTTTTTTTCATCTTTGCTTAGGTACTAAGTTGGATAGCCCGAATCCAAGTTTAGATGCTTGTACTACTACAATCTGATTGTTTTTTTTTTCATGGAAATCAGTCAAAAAAAATTGGCAATTGTTTTCTTCATTGATTTTCCATAAGTTCGTAATAGTCTTTTGGCTCAATATATTTGCCAAACGTATAGGTATTACTCGTCTCGCTCTATTGATTGATATTTAAGTGTTTCGTTTGATTACATTGTAATTGGTGAGAATTTATTTCAAGTGTAGTTGTCTTTCGTTTACCGTTCATACTTAAAAAGTATCAAATTTCGGAGACAAGTCAGTCCGGCAAATTTGAGGAAGGACACACCACCGACGCTATCGAACAGCACCAGATTTTTTTGAACGTGCTACAACTACTTATCCACGTGACTTTTGCTATCTTTCACTCAAATTTTGTGTTTTTTGGTTTTGAATGGTCTCTTGAATGTTGTACATACTTAGTTAAATGTATCCATTATTCACATGTGAATATGTTTTGTAAAGTTTCATCTTTTGGAGTATAAAGTTTGAAAATTCAGCCTTGTAATAATGTCAATTGTGTTACTAATGTATATGTGTGAGGGTATCAGTTGCTTTTTAAGGTCTATAGTTATGTACTGTTAGCATATTTCCAAAAAATGTTCTCCTTTCCTATATCTTCCTTTCATATGAATACGAATATACTTCGGGTTTTTAATCCAGTAAATTTGAATTACTAATCATTCATTATTTGCTCTAGAGAGTTTAAGAGTTCTCCTTGCTTGCAATTTATTGGACAGGTCCTTGATGATTGATGTCTTAGAGTGAGAGACATTGAT